AGACATAGTCGTCTGAGTTGTGTCAAGTGTCGTCAAACCACGCCTCTAAACTGAGGTTCTAAGAAAGGCATCAGCGGCATGAACTTCAGCCCATAGCCTGGCTGAGGCCGAGCGTCATGCAACGAATCCAGTGGAGTCATTAAAACATATTAAAACTAGTACGACTAGTCCTGGAGCTGGCAAGCATAACATAGCATAACATAGCATAACCACATACCACCAACACCATCTAACACCATCGTGGCAGTAGCAGTATGTAGCAGTGTTTGCAGAGTCTGCGGAAAGCTATGCAAGAGTTGTTTCAGGTGTCTCTCCTTTTGGAAATCTCCAGTCTTGATACCCGCAAACACAGAGCAGTTTCTGAACCCAAGTCGGCACCACTGACAACAGCAAGACCACTTCCAGGACCAACTTGAATGCTCAAATCCAAACCACCCCTGAGTAAGCACCATGGGACAGGAGCAAACAACTCTACATCTGATGTTGCACCATACTGATAGCATGGTGCTGGTGCTGGTCAGCGAATCGGCTCAAGGAAAGTGAGACATGTAAGACCAAGAATTCGGCGTGGCGAGCTGAGGAGGGAGCCTCGTTTGCCATGAAAGAACACAGGTCGTGTAGGCAACAAAGAACTGACATAAACTAGAAACTATTGAACATGATTGAACAAATCTGTTGAAAGGATTTGAAAGAAACTATTCAATCTGAAACATCTGCAACCAGGAAAGCTTTGTCAAGGCACTCATTCCACGGCCAAGCAGTCCAGCTGCTTAAATGGCCAGGCGTGGAGCTCAGAGTCACCTTTCACTGAGGCAAAACCACCTACAAAGTAGAAAAATATGTCGAAAGATCTAGAAAAAATAATTTAAATGATTTTAAAGTGATCCAGATCCAAAGTGATGCTTTCAGCGGGACTTCAACAAACTCTGCCTCCAGAAGCTTCTTGCTAGAAGGTGAGGCCACGATTTGCAATGGCATGTTCGCGGACCAAGAAGAACCTGCAACAACTGCAAATCGGGGCAAAAGTGCCTGATTTCACAGCACCCAGCGCGCTTTGTGACCGAACACATGCAAGACGCCTGTGGCTGAGTCAAAGGCCAGGAGAGCAATCGACGCCATAATCATGTCCCTGCCACTGACAGTGGAATGTTCCTTCGTGCCAGTATGCACAACATGTGCTTTTGAAACCTTCGAATGAATCCTGCCTTGCAGGAAGGTGCAATTGCCATGGGCAACGCTCCTAAGGATCTCAAGTTGTTGGATTGGTGAGGCTGCAGGCTGTGAAAGTTCCAAGCCAGCAACCATATTAGCAACGCACCACCCTTTTACCGGGTTTGTTGACCCTCTACGGTATCTCAGAACCAGCTACCTCATGAAAAAGTAGTATCAAGTGGCCGTGACCTGTCTACCAAACAGAAAAGTCCAGCCATTTGTTGCCACACCAGGGAGCAATCTTCCAGCAACCAGATTGAGGCACAAACACCAGAGAGCAGGCGTGAAGCCACAAGTGGTGCAAAGGGGTGGTGCGCCTTCAACAAACTTCGAAATTGGGAGTTAGTTGAGTTTTCCTGGGCACTTTTCTCCAATCTACTGTCCAATCCCCCTATGCTTTGGCGGACCGAGGTAGCTCACAATGCTTCATGATAATTCCCGCAATATTGTACAATGCAATGCAAGCTGCTTAGGGCATTTGCACAATAAGGCTTTGGCATGTTTGGTCCCAGCCCAAAGCCAAAGCCCAAGAGCTTGCACCCAAGTACTAGCAGCATGCATGCCTCAGCCATTCAACTCCACCGAATGCATACCCTGCCTGTTTCCATTGATGCATCTTTATGCAAACTTTTGTAGAGGCCCAGACTTTCTGCGCTGTCTGCAAAGTAGGCAGTGGGACCTTGCACCTGATAGATGACATCAACAAAGTGAAGCGACCTAACTGACCTAAATGTATCTATATATAAATGTGATAAATGCAGTGACTTAACTCCATGAAGGATTAGTGGAAGATGGTGGAATGCTTCTGATCTTTCGCAGCTTTTTGAGCTACTGCTTGGGGCACCCGAATGCGGTCAAGCAATGCAGCGCCTGCTGCCTCACACCAGACCAGAGATGAGTACAGGCTATTTAAGACAAACTAGTGCATAATTTACATAATTTGCATTTAACATGCATAATTGTAAATTCGAAATTGTCCATATCTTCAGGTTTCAACAAAAGACCCGCAAAACTCAGCTATCCTCGGCGCGTCGATCAGCTCCGAAATTCATTATCAAGGCAGTGCCAAGTTGTCCAGAGGCCTTGGCGTTCAAACGTTGAAATCTGCTTCACTCAGAGGCTACAGTCACTCTTAGCAGGTCGAAAG